CGAGTGCGAAGAGATTGTAGAGGTTCAGCTGCACTTGGAAAGAATAAATATAGAAATTTTGATAGTAGAAAAATGGAAAAAATGTTTTGCTTTTTCAGTGGTAGAAAACTTCAAAAAATTCAAGAAAGAAAGACAGTCTTTCCTTTCTCAGTGAAATCGGAAGCAACGAGTACTTTCAAATTCTTTCTAACTTCTTCTACTCCGTAAAGTTCAGGCTTAGCTGCTGCTCAACTGATTTGAGGTCATTTCTGACAATCTTCGAGCTATAAAATCTCTCACCGTAAAGCTACAATGACATTTGACTGTGAATGGAATTATAGTTGCTGATTACAATAGTTTTTACACACGGAAAAACATCTTTAGAATGACCTTACAGGTGCGAAGTCAAAATTCCGAAAATCTGCATCAAATCTAATACAACCTAATAGTAGCCACTCAGAAAATTAGTTATACAGCATAAGATAAATAACCCGAGAATCCAAAATATCTAACGCAACTAGGATGTGGAGTTTTCGTCAGCTTGGTTCAAAAATATTACCGTAAATGTTTCTAAACTCTAGTTCACAAGAGTCTTACAAAATTTGTCACTATGAATCGCCCTACTCGAATTCTGTTAAATGAGACTACGGAAATTACTGTCCATTTTGGCAGTTATATTCCCACCAACGATCACTTATAGCCCAGAACAAAGATCTCCCAGAATATGTCTTGGACATTGCCTAGGGCCGTGCAGCCTGACCCCTGGTCTCGTGTGTTGTGTGAAAAATATCGTTGTCCTGTGGACATAGCAACGTAATCGTCCCGCTCAGGTCACTGTCTCTGCTATAAAAAGGCTCTGGACATGTTCCATTTATGCTCCGTCGTCATCTTGTAAAAAATTCTCAATTCTATATTCCCTTATTGATCATTTGCTCGAATAAAGTTAGGAGTATGAGGCACTGACTTTTTCTAGTGGAAAAATGGACATTTTGCTCTTTCTTCTTGATCTGCACACCCCGGAAAACCCGCCAAAAAGCACAAATCAATTAGGTGGTCTAGCTGAACAGTGCCAAGGCCCTTCTCCCATTTTGTTTTTCTTTTCTACCGTTACTGTCATAATAAAGATCTCTTCACCGATTTTGCTGTTCTTTTTTCACCTTTACTCTCGATACAGGCGTCTTTTCTAACTTCGTCTCTCTTTTCTGTCAACTGTTTCTTTCTCTGTTTCTTCTTTCTCTTTCTCGAGATTATTATTTCTTCTGTACTTTTGTTATTTACAGATTTAATGCAATTATACTTGCTCTTGCTTATCTTTCCATTGGCGGTAGCAAGAGTGGATCCCGATTATGGATCAAGTATGTTTATTTGAAAGTTTATTGAAAATGTTCATTTTGCTTGTGATGCAACAAAGCTGGGTTAACAATCATTTTGAAAAAAAAAAGTGTAGAAAGTGTATTGATGCCTTAGTTAGGGGCTTGATTTTGCAGATTAGAAAATTTTAAAAATTTCGTAGACAAAGTGACGATCAGGAAGCTTCATATAAAGGAAAACAATCAAATTTTTGGAATTCATAAAAGATGTAAATTTGTTTATTGCTATTTTCCCATGGTGTTCTACAAAGTATCCTAAAACGAAGCGAGTGTTATAAATTTGCTATATGAAAAAAAAGGATAATGCCAAAGGCTGAAGTA